TTTTTTTTTCTTTAAAATATAAAAAAGATTTTTTAAAATGCATTAATATTATAGCTAAGTCTTTGGAAAGAAGCTATACTTGCCTTACTCACTTTCAGAAGAGATAAAGATTTCTATGGAGCCATGGGTGATACACAGGAAAAAAAGTGAAGAGGAAGTATGTCTAGAAGCACTTCTCCTCTCTAGGGCACTGACCTTGCCAAATCCCCAAATCTCCCTCTAATCCTCCATTTTGTGCTCTTTACCATCAGTTGGAAAGCTGTCATACCACAAAGACCAAACATACAGAAATCATTATCTCCCTCAGAAAATCATGATACTATTTTTGAAAAAGGAATATAGTTGGGATAAATGTCCCCTGGTTCCTAAGCTCTACAATACAGTGGGACAATACATTTTCCATATGTTTCTCTATAATCACAACAGCAAAATGCTTCCTTTAAAAATTATTCTCACATAGTGACGTGATTCCTAGGGCTAGAATCCTACGAAAAATAGGATTCAACAGAGGGAAAGTGGCAGGACTTGTGCACTTGCACCAGACAAGAGAAGTGTTGGGTTACATCTGGGAGCTTCTGTGGACAGCAAATTACTGGAAGATAAATAATCCCAGTGATTATTCATCAAGGACAATCATAAGGAATAGCAAATATAACCTGAGTGATTAAAAAAAAAAAAAAAAAAAAAAAAGGCAAGACTGGGAAGGACTCTTCAGGGCGTTGTAAGTTGTATAAAGTGCCAATACCTTTCTGAGCTGAAAACCCCAGCAAAACCCAAACTCTGTACCACACAAGGAAGAAATAGTTTGTTTCCTTGGCTTGTATATGTTTAAATTACAAAAAATTCCATGCAAAGGTGATAGAAAGATGGGTTGAAAATGAACTATGATATGATTCAATGGTTAACTTATTTCCTAAATGAATGAGAAAGGAAACAGGTTGCTGCAAGCTTCTACTCTCACTTCCTTATGCGAGAAGACATAGACACTGTCCCAGAAAGAACGGGGCCACTGTGCACGCTCTTCTCAGGCAGTCATGGGTAACTGGGTGGAGAATGAAGGACTGTCCATCTTTGTCGTTGTAAGTACAATTTTTATTGTGATTTGTGTCTAGCAAACAATCCGACAGAAAGCTGCCATAGGTAGATCTCATTGTGTCTGTGGATGATGCAGCTGCCTTTTCTGAAGCCAGGGCAGCAAGTGCAGTTGCGTTATACCTGAAGGGTTTGTTTTTTAAGGAGCTCTAGCTGGAATCCAGGTTGCTGCGGGCTGCATTGTCAGATGAGAAATGATTGCATATGAACTCGCATTTGCTTTGCTATAAATATTTAAGTATCCAGAGTTTCTGATGCAATAGCGATTTAAGGAAAACAAATAACATTACATTTCACTGTTAAGTATGTGTATTTTGAAAGAGAGAAAAAAAACAATAAAAGCAAGCACTTTTATAAACAAAAATGGATGTTACTGAAAGCACAGTGGATATTTCTTGGTAGTAGAAAATTTGTCGGTATAGTCAGATTCCAGAATTAAGAGCAGTGATTCATGAATTTCCTATTAAGACAACTTGTATTTGAGCTAAACTTGCATTCAGCTGCTCTGAAAGTGGATTCAGTTAATTCCAGGCAACATCCAAATGTACTGAAAATCATCCTTACATTTAGAAGAGCTAAACTGTAAGGCAGGTCTCCTTGTTTGAGGAAAGAATTTTGTATTTCAGTGTTCCTTTTTTTCTTCTTTTCTTTTCTTTTAATCTCTTCCCAGGGCATTAGAGTGGCCTGGGAAGAAATTAAGGATATAAGAGCCATAGGTATTCAATATTCTGTAATAGCAAAATGTAGTACCAATTACGAGATTGTTGCCAAGTATGGTTAATTACATATACACTGAGAAGAATAAAAAGAAGACATAGAACTATATTTTTGGAGACTGAAATATGAACATGTTTATTCAGAAAAGTATTTGCCTTGCTACAAATGATCAGTACTTATAAATTACATTGCCGAAGCATAGATCTAGTTTAGAAACACAGCACTGACACTTCCGTGCTTTGAAAGAGCTGTATTTGCTGTACCCAGTGACTTGAGGAAGTTGAAACTGTCAAGAGGTGAGTTCTGTCATAGTTTTCCCATCAGGACTGCAATATTAACTGAATTAAGTAAGAGGCCATTATTTTGTTCAAAGGAGGAATTTGTGTTCAGAGTCTCAGAGCTATACAAGGTCAGCTCATATACAGGGAAGGAAAATAAAGAAGTCGCTGGTTAAAAAAAAAAAGAGAAAAAAACAGCTAAAACAGTTAATTGGAGGCCTTTACAAAGTGTCCTGCTTTGTTCATTACCATTTTGTTGTACACCAAACAACTACAAGGCAGCCCAGTGCTTGATAGAAACAGGACAGCCACATTTTTATTACTTTTCTCAACGAAATGGATGCAGTCTTCTTTTTTGTTTTGTTTTGCCTGACATGTCAACCTTATCCCCAATGTATGTTGCCTCCACTGGCCCTAACCAAAGAGCATGGATGGCTGCTAACTCCTGCAGCTCGGCCCAGGTTGTCACAGGGTGTCACAGTGTTTGTTGCTCAAGGGGGTCCACATTCCTTATGAGCCAACACCAAGGAACGTGAGGCTCCGTCACAGATCATGCCAAGCATCTTAGTCTTCTGGACATGCTGTCTAGTTCCTGTGCATGGGAGTAGCACACTCCTGCTTTAAATATGCATCCTCAGTATTTTACCCTGAGCTGAGCTTAATTTTGTAATGAGGGTTTGGGGATTTCTCATATACTGGCTTATGCTGTTGGAAAATACTTCAATTCCCTGCCTTTGCACCTTACAGGTGAGGCATTTTCAAGATCTAAAATAAACCCCAGTGCTGGCTGAGCTAAGGAGCTCAGCAAGACTAGTGCTTATAACTATGGGCTAGGTGGGGCAAGAGACTGTAGTATCACAGTTTCATCCCGAATTTATGACCAGGCTACAGGCCTATTGGTCTCAGTCTTTGTCTCCTCCATCTTCATGTACTACCTAGTAAATCTACTTAGAACAGAGAAGCAGTGATACAGTTTGGTTTCAGTGGGGATGTGAAGTCAGCCAGCTGTCTCCAGAAGAGTGCGTGGCCAGATTCATCACGGTCTCCTGGGATGGACGTCATGTAGGATGTGCAAGTATGAGAGAATACTGAATCTCAGTTTTGGGTAGCCTAAACTCCACCTAAGTGCCTATGTTGAACATTTCCTGCTGGCTGACTTCAGGCCTTCAGAGGCTCCTACTTAACTGAAAATATTAGGCTTAGGACATAGGTGTAATTTTGGACATCTATATTTAGACCTCAAGCTTTGTCCTTTGGCACAGCTCCAAAACTTGCCTTTGGCAGCTCCTCTTACAAAGATGAGTACGACTGAGGAACTTCCATTAAGAAGAGGCCCTACCCTAAAGGATGTTTAGAGATTCAGCTACACTTACAGACTTAGACAGACTCTTAATTTATAAAAATCACAAGCCTAAACTCTGAGCTATACAAAGTTTTCCAGTACCACTTTTTTATTGTGTTTCTTTACCACTCCAGTACTCCTATGTATATACTTCAAAGTCCATTTCCACCAGAAAAATATATGTCATTTCTGCTGATTAGATCCCGAAGTGCACCTATCTGTGCAAATAGGAATGTAATGAGCTAATTGTTCATTTTCTGAACTGTGTAAATTCAGACATATAGACTCTAACAACAAACCGTAAAGTTTGCTGTTCACTTCTCTTTCAGCTCGTGTGGCTGGGGTTAAACGTCTTCCTCTTTTGGTGGTTCTATCTTGCATATGATCTCCCACCAAAATTCTTCTACACCAGAGTCCTCCTTGGCGTAAGTAAAAAATACATATTATCCTTGACATGTACCAAACACACAGCACTTTTCCCCTACTTTGATTTGAATGAAACAGGAACAGGTTGAAGCAGTAGATTCGTGTAAATAGTCATATGTAAACAAAAAACTGAAGGGAACAGAGAACTGAATAGAAGAGCGCTTTTGAACAGAAAGTTTATATGCAACAAAGATAAAGCCCATTTTGAAGATGTCTTCAGGAACCATTATATTCCTGATAATTAAAGAAGTGAACATATATTGTGACTGCTTTTTTTTTTTTCAGAAGATGAATAAAATATTTCTATTAGAATTGCTGTGCAATCATTTCCCTTTGCAATCATTCTCTCATAGTATGAACAGGTTACATTGTTATTAGCCCTGAAAAGCCGGTATCATTCATATAGTCATCGAGTGACAGTAGTCAAGAGATCCTGGACCCCAGCCTACTCAATATAACATAACCGGTTATATTGAGCATCATGTGTCCTGCTGTAAACTTGCTTCCAGAGGTAACAAGGGTTAGGACCAATTGATGGTCACATGAATTTGATTATTTGACTTGTTCACATATTTTAAAAACCTGATCACAGACCCCAAAATCACAGTCAGCCTTGAATTACAGAACACATTTTGTAAAAAGTTTGCCAATCTATGGTTTAATTCAACAAAGCTTGAAACCCTGTTCTTGTATCTGGCTTTGGGTCTATGGATCAATTTTTGTCTTTTATTATCAAAGGCTGCATTTGCCTTTGAAGTCACAAAGATCTGTGCTTGGTTAACTGCAGTCCAGTGTAATCCCAAGTCAGTTACTATGATCTGAAACTTGGAAGGGTCCCAGTCTATGCACGGAGAGCAAACATTATCTTTTCCTTCAATTCAGTGTGCTTGGATTAATAGAGTCACTCTCTGTCAAAATCCGAAACCCTTCAGGATCTAAAGTTCAGCTTAAGAGATCATATTTCTAGAAGATGAGGTAACTAATTTAGACTCCCCTTACTGACAGCAGAGAGGCGTAACAAAGAAGAGCCCCAAGCACTAATCTTCTGGAGTTAAATGAACTCTTATGAACATGCCAAAGCTTCTGTTGTATTGGTGATAGTCATAAGAGAGGCAAACCTAAGTTTCTGAAAAATTCTGGGTCAAGTCCTATTGCCTTTCTGAACATAGAACCACTTCCCTCATGAGCTCTTCTTCCTTTTACCCCAACCCCTCAGCCAACTGAAACCACAGTGTTAAGATTGTCTGTAGCCTTGGACAGGAAACTCTACTAATGTCCTAGACTTCTGTGTTTGGCCAACAATTTTCAGACATTGCAGGGAGTTTTTCGTACGATCATGTTATTCTATGTAATTTAAAAACTGGAAATAGAAACAGGTTTTTATCTGGAGAAATGTGTTCTGTTTGCATGTGAGCCCTTGACTTGGCCAGAGCATGTCTACCCTTAAATGTGAGCCTGTTTAATTACCTTAAGTTCTCACAAAACTTTCTCAAAAAGTTGTGGTATGATGCATAAAGGAAATTTGTTTCTCCTGGATAACAGTCCCCGTGAGAGATCTCAGTCTCCTGGATAATACTTAAGTAATTATTTTAAGAATGGCTTCTCTCATTGCAGCGTGCTTTAGCTCTAGCAAGAGCTCCTGCAGCTTGTCTGAATTTCAACTGCATGCTGATTCTGCTGCCAGTGTGTCGAAACTTGCTGTCCTTTCTCAGAGGATCAAGTGCGGTAAGATGAAGAAAGAATTTCAAAATCTATGAAAGCAGAAGACCCAAGCAGCCTTGCAAATGTGCCAAGCGACATCGTCCAAGTTCCCCAGATATACTATGCTTTGGGGGTGTCTTTTTCTAGACAAGACCAGAGTTTGGCTATGATCAAGAGTAGGGTCTATATGCTAATGGTACATCTAGTACTGTGGTGAGATACTGAGCCTTGAATCAGCCTTATTTTCCAATCTTCCTTTTTTCACTGTCTCCTATGCAACATGATGTGTTGTATATGTGTTGCATGTGCGGGCTGGAAGATCTGAGAGTTGCCTGTTATTCAGGAGCCTATGCAACATGATGTGTTGTATATGTATTGCATGTGGGGGCTGGAAGATCTGAACAAAAGAGTTGCCTGTTATTCAGGAGTCCTCCATACAGAAGAAGTGTGGGTATGTAAAAAGAAAAAGAATAGTAAGCACAGCTGTAGGGTCTAACTGGCACTTGCACCGCCCTGGGAAAGATTAACTAGTGTTTGTCAAAATTCAGACTGGCTCCACAGGATGCAGATGTCAATAACTAATGTATAGTCTGTAGGGTCTAGTGTAATTTGACCAATGTATTTGGAAAGCAATGAGCTTGTGGGTATACACGACCTTCACGAGGTCTGAAAGAGATCCACAGTCATTGAGCTGAAGGCCAATTGGGAAGAGAGTGTCTAAGGTCAAAGCAATGATACTATTTCAAAGGAGCTGGAGGAAATTTCAGAGAAGTTACTGCAAGGCTAAAAGCTCACTCCAAGAGCAGGGAACAGTGTCCCAGCAAGGACTTCATGCTACTTGTCCTGAATTGCTCATCTCCTAAAATCGATAGTTCAATGTTTCTAACCAGGGTCCTCTGAAGCTGCCCCTGCTCTGTTGGCACCCGAGCTACAGAGCGAATCCTCCTCCCCATGGTGCTGCTACAAGCGCCCGGGCTCACGGCAGGCTGCACGTGGGAGCCATGCAGGCAGCGGCAGCCCCGTTTCTGCGGGATCCCCGGGCTCCCTCACCCTCTGGCTGATGATGTGGGAGTGGATGGGGAAGTGGAGGCCTCTGAGGACGAGCAGGAAGGGAGGGAGGGGCATAAAACAGCATGACAAGACAGTTGTGATTAGTTTAACTTCAGTTGCTTTTTGTAATACAGGGATACTTCAGGAAGGAGGGAATTTTGCATCTTAAGCAAAACATGCACATTCCTGTGTTCCAGGATGGTGGGCAGGGGACCGGCTGCTTTTGCCTCTTCTGCTGTTGTCTCTAGTTAGCTGTGCTTGGGAGGAAAAAAACTATGAGGATTTCTAAAAGATCAAGAGTTTTATAGGTCACGTAACTTATTTAAGGGCTGGTGACCTTTCCAGCGCTGTCACTGCCACCCCTGGGGTTAGGGAGATGGGAGAATGGTTCAAACCTGTTGTTCGACAACAGTGTGGTGGAAATCCCTGCCCTTTACATCTTGCTGGTCAGCAATCTGCAGACTGATTTATCATTAATTGAAATAACAGCTGTACTGTTTTGCTGTATTCAGTGCTGCTGCTAAGTGAGCCTCACTACTCATTCTAGCTACAGCATTTTGCCATTGCTTTGCCGGAAGCTCCTTCAAGGGAAAGCTCAAGCATCCCTACATACTGTTGCCAAGGCAGTCAGGCAGGAGAGACACTTCTTTGCCATGCTGCACTTTATTCTACAGGCTTTTCAAGTACCTAAAGGTACGAGATAGAGAGAAGACCAAATCTCTCCTGGCTGTTATACTCTCCTGAGCTCACTGGGATAGCATCAGAGTTTGCTATTTGATCAGTGTCACTGCTGGAAAGTAACCAAAGGGAACAGTTTCCTCATATATTTATTGATACAGTTAATATTCATGAGCTATTTAGTAAAGGACTGTTATGGAGGAGCAAGGTCGCTGCTGCTGTACCTCCACTACATGGAGAGAGAATCAGAAATGAAATTGTTTTGGAGGTTTTTGTCATCTCTTTTTCTAATTTGTGGCTGGATGGTTGGGATGATCCTCCCTGCCCTCTGAGCTGTGATCATTATTTACCTTTCACTGCCATCTACGAAGTCCTTGTCTGGACAATTGGGAGACACTTTGTTTCTCTTAATTTGCTGTGAGAAACATCTAAGTGGAAGTGGGTTTTATGTGTAAATTCTGTATTAGTTTGCATAATGTGTTATTTCCTTCGCCAGTCACGAAAAGCAGTACAGGATAGGATACAACAGAGAACAACTACAGTTTTTATTCTATAGAGACCACAACACCAGTCTTAGAGGAATTTAAGCAACAGGAAAACTGCCATTGACTCTAGTAGAATTTTGATGGAGCCTCTCAGGCACCTACATAATTGTTAATGAAAATATAATTTCATTTTTTCTCAAGAGCCAAGGTCTTCCACTTGTATTAGCAGAGATTTTTTCATTCTGTTTCTCTTTGGATAAGTAGTAAGAAGTCCTGTAACAAGTCCTAAGTGAATTTCAGACAAGTACACCCAGGTTTTGTGGGGAGGAATCACTTCATAGGACTGTAAGAGACTCCCATGTTTGGGGTGGAGGCTCTGAGACAGTCATACCCAAGCAGTGCTGTTTATTTCTACAATGTAAACCACAACAGCATCCTAATAGCCTGCGCTAGCAGGCTATTCAACACTACCAAAAATAAGAAAAATCATTAACAATCACTTTACCATGGCAGAAGGTGATCCCTCCCTTAGTTCATTATATGTAATTTAAATTTAACATGGATAAGATACCTACTTTTGCCATACTGTATCTGAAGTTTTCCCTCATGATCAAGTAATTGGTTTCAATGATGTGACATGTTAAAACATAATCTGGTATTCCTGTGTTCTGAAGAGTGACATATTTCTGTGCTGTCCATTGCTGTGTTCAGGGCTGACATTTTTTCCTTACATTTAAGTAACTATGCACAGGCATCACAAATAATCTGCAGCTACTTTTTTTCTTCACATCCAAAGTGCTGCTCAACCCGTGTCAGACGGCAGCTGGACAGGAACCTCACCTTTCACAAAATGGTGGCATGGATGATCGCCCTTCACACTGGTTGGTACCCAAATGTTTCTTCGTTTATTGCTTTGCAGAGAGCAAATGATAAATGAGGAAGGACACCCTTCTGCTGCTCTGTTAACACCATGCAAGTTAGTGTTCAATAAAGGGTATTATTAGTAATGCTCTGAGAACCAGACACTCAGCCTGTAACTCTTGTTTAGAGTTTTTTCCTAGCTGGCATGTCTGGAACAAATAATAGCAACAATGAAATAAAAGTACAAAAAGTGCGGACAAGGCATCTAAATTTTTTTGCATTTTAATCTCTTGTTACGTTAGCTGGAGAGTTTCTATTATTTTTTTCAACAGCTTTATCACCTCTCTGGTCAAGTACCTTACAAGTCATATATCCTAGAACAGTGAGTGAGTTGCTTGAGCTGAGTGGGTTCCCCTCCTGAGCTGTGACTGCAGTGTGGCCGCTGCTACATTGGTGGGAAGAGCACGATAGGCCACAGGGGAGCTCCGCAGCGGAGCTGAGTTGTTCGGCAGGGAAGATCAGTCCCCTTCAGGCCTTGCTATGAAGGTTAATAAGGACATGGTGATACAAAAGGGGAAAAATTTTGAGAAGTGTTGTGTGTCTGCCCCTCCTAATAATATGCAGTGGAACTAATAGCGTGAAACACCTCTCAGTTAAACTATATTTATGGACAAAACGAGCTCAGCAGAAACATTACTAGTGGTTATTTTCAATGCGGCAGAGGAAAGAGGCGCTGGGAATTTTGCCATCAAAGAGATCCAAATTTATTTGTCGACTCATCTGCAGAATTCTGGTTTGATCCAGGCAAACCGCTCAAGCCTCCCTTTCCTTCACTCTCCAACCAAAAACTGGGGTATTGCTCTGCCATTTGAATTGTTTTCTTGAGCAATAATGGGCTGGAAACTTCCTCCCTTCACATCCTGCCACCCAAAAAGATGTAAGCTGCAGATGGGAGCCCTGCGATAGTAAAACATGCCAGTAATCTGAAACTGTGGTTAATAGGGTAGTGCAAGAGAGGGAGCGTGCAAAAGTTTTAAGTAAGTAAGTTGCCTTGGACAAATGTTACAAAATTTAGAATGTCACCTAAAAACCCTGAGTACTTCTCTTGTGCTTAAACCTGATTACTTGTCTGCTGTGGCTGCTAGCAATTCACACCGTCGCACACTTGTTCAACGTGGAGTGGAGTGTGCACGCACGTGTTGAGGAGAGGGGCACCTTGGCAGCTGCGCTTTCTGGCCTCGGGGATAAGCCCAATGAAAGCTACCTGAACTTCGTTAGAAAAACCATTCCGGTAAGCAACACCAGGCTGTGATGAATCACTTCCATCCCCGCTCTACCTGAGCTCAAAGGCTACTCCTGGTGGGCACGATTTGTGTTGGAACCACTTTGCTGGGAAACCCGGTGCAATGTGGTCTTCTGTATTTGTCAGTAATCATTTTATTCTGGATGCCAGCATTGTTTCCAGCTTTTTCACCTTAAGATTTCAAAATAGTTTTAAAACATTTCTTAAAAACATAACATACCCTGTAAAGAAGCCTTCTGACTATGGTAAATGTGATCCACACAGAAATCAGGGCAATGGCTTTGAACTTGGGCTCTCCATTATTAAGATCTGGGTAAAGAAGAAAAACGAAAAAGAAACCTCAGAAATACAGAGCGCCACATTATGGGAGCCACAGGATCATAAAGCCACTGAAGAGAAGAACTTGTGCTTCCCTGCCTAAACATAGGGCCTCAAGCAGCACACGGGCTCACTTTTCTCAAGGCTACACTGCTGAACAGTGGCAGAGTCAGAAACAGTTTTTTGTGTGTAAACAGGCAGAAGTCCCTTTCTATTTCCACTTATTTTGGAGTGAAGTTTCGTCTTTTATTTTACTAAGGGTAAATCTGCAGTGCAACAAACATGAAAGGGTTTCCAACAGCACGATTGGCATGTAAATTCATAGAGGATAACTTAGAGACTTGAAACGAGGTAACAAATTTGGAAGTAAGACAGACTAATGTTTCAGCTGGCTCAGCTTTGGTGCATTGCTTTTCTCAGACAAATGTGTGCAATTATTTCACAGAATCCTGTGGGGGGCCTCTATGTGGCTTTCACGTACTTGGCTGGTCTCACTGGCGTTATCATTACGCTGGCCCTCATACTAATCATCACGTCATCCACCAAAACCATCCGAAGGTCGTACTTTGAAGTGTTTTGGTACACGCACCATCTCTTTGTCATCTTCTTTATTGGTCTTGTCATCCATGGTGCTGGGTGAGTATTTGCACTTACCAGGTAATACGTGATAACTATATCTTGATCTAAAGCCCCCCGTCCACAGAGGTAGAGTGATTTCAGTCACAAAGCAGCAGTTGCGTTTGGTGGTGGTGCTGGGGCAGGACCATAGGGTACAAATGACACATGCATGAGGTTTCGTGAGAATCAGGCACCCTTAAGCTCCCCTTTTCTCGTATTTAATTGAAAAGCTTTTTTTCTCAAGATCCCGGCCTCTGCTTATCCTTGTGTAGGGATTTTAGTTGCTGCAGCTCAGGTGTATGCAAATGTAAGTTTTTGTAACTTCCAAATGCCAAACAGCTTTTTCCAGTGCTGCTTTGTTCCATAGCTTCAATACTTTCAATTAGCTGAAAAGCCTATTGAAACAATTTTAGCACCCCATTAGAAAAATGAACCTCAGTTACTTTTTATAAAACCACAGAACAGATGTATAGAGAAAAAGAAAAAAGGCTAACATATCCAGGCCAGATGTCATAGCTCAAAATTGCATGCAATATTTAAAAGGAAATTCTTGTTGTTATATCTTTAAAAAATACCTGAGGATCCAGAGCATGGGGGTGCTTGAAAAGCAGAATGCTTCAAAAATGCTTTGTAAAAATGACTATTCAAAATCACTTCCTCTTAGTTCAGTGTGCCAGAGAAAAGAGAGAAATGATGTTACAACAGCAAGAGCAAAACCAGAGGGCAGATGAGTATCACTACCAGTATATTTGTCCACTTCAACTTTCAAAGCTGGAAGGAGAATGCTAGAGCAAAACCTGTTGAAGGAAAAAGACACATGGTTCTTGTCTCAAGCGGGAAATATTGGGTGATTGCCTATAAAATGTCCTACGTTGTCAGCAGTTACGCCACAACAGGATCAGAAAGCAAGCACTGCTCTTTACTCAATATTTAGCTGTCAGTGGGTGACATATATTTCATAAATAGCTGTGTGCTATTTATGTGTTTATGCATACATACATGTATACATGTGTATTTACACATACAGAAAACAGAATCAAAGATAGTAGAATAAAGGGGCAGATTTTTATCTGGTACAAACTGTTATAGCACTTTTGTAGCTTTGACTTTTTTTATGCATGAGTCATGTCTCACAGACAAAAAAAAAAAGCTTAAAACCTCCCATCAAGGTAAATGCAAAAAGGAAAGATTACAGAGACACTTTGGGAGTGGAAGTAAAGCTTTCAACAGCAAGTAGCTAGAAGCCTGAACTTCTGACAGCTTAATTATAGTACCGAGAGAAGCTCTATACTTAGTAATAAAGGAGTATCTCCTTCTCTTGCATAGGGTACCCGTTTTGCCAAACCGTGTGGTGCAAGGCAAAAAATACCAGGCTCCCTTCTTCCCCTCAGAGATGGGGTAGGAGTGGCAGAAAACAGGCAGAAGAGAAGACGGGCTCCTACTGTTCCTACAACCCACCACGCAGGATAGCTGAACTGAGCCAGTTATCACTAGTGGGGAAGGAAATTGCAGCTGGTGATGCCCCTGGAAATGGCAACTCGTGATGCTCCTGGGAACAGTCATCCCTTCTCTTTCTTTTTTCAGACAGGATGTTAATCAAACCCTTAATGAGGAAGAGGTTCATTAGTAATATTTAGTAATCTATTTTAGCTTCTAAGATTGTGTACAGACCTTCTAATAATCCTCTGATATATTTGTCATAGTTAGACATATATATGACTCAGATGCCATGTTTGTTTGAAACATGAAGTGAAAGAAATTGAAGTTTAAAGAAACCCATCTTGAAAAAAAAAGATAAGTCATGGAAGAAGGTATCAACAGAATCATATTGGCATAAAACTGATCAAAATCCATCTGTTTCTAGGGTAGGTCAGCAGATCTTAATCTGAATTTCTCTACAGTGACCCCGATCCTACTAATTGCCCTCCTTTAGGAGATTCTTACACTCCCCTGAGGTTGAGAGAACTCCACACAAATAGGAAATAGTGTGCAAGTTCACGACATATTTTTCCTGAAAAACAAACAAACAACAACAACAAAAAACAGAGGGTAGATTAGCAGCTGACATAAAGTGGCTTTTATGAGTCAGGTGGATCTGTGTTCATTCAGACTATGTGAACACCTATTCTACACTGTTAAATGGAGAAAAAGGGCTAAAAGTCATTGGAAAGGGCTTTCCAGAATTTCTATGAAAGACAAGAGAAAAAAAAAATGACCTATACTGCTGACTAAGAAATTGATCTTCTTGCCTATTCCATGTTTGTTTTTGTTTTTACTGAAAGAAGTAAGGATTCCTACTGAAGCCACATGCTTGAAATCATAATGAACTCACTTCTCAGTTCTCAGATACTTGTAGTCAGTATTTTTTCCTACGATCTTTCCTGCTCATTTTTATCCTCTGAATAACAGTTCTGTGGGTGGATCAGAGCAGTAAGGCTGTATCAAAAGGGGCATTACCATTTCAGAAGTACATAACTGTGCGTGATGTATGTAGCTTAACTTTGCAATACGTAATATTATTTCAGATATTCCATTTCCATGTCATTCCCTTAACTTTTTATATCATTTTCAGGCGTATTGTACGGGGACAGACAGCTGAGAGTCTGGATGAGCATAATCCAGACATTTGCTCTAAGAACTTCACTGACTGGGGGAAAAAAGAGGCCTGTCCAATCCCCCAGTTTTCAGGAAATCCTCCTATGGTAAGGACAATTGCACTGAGCATAAATCCAATAAAAATACTTGCAGTTTGTTCTTTTGTTAAATAACATATACACATGCTGTAGAAGAGCAGTGAGGCAATCCTCAATGCTCTTCAGTGGCAACCTAATATACAGCAGTAGATTGCAATACGACGAATTACAAGCAGAAATGGAATAGAGACAGACAAACCACTTCCAGTATCAAAAACTTCTCATAAAAGGAACACAGTTAATAGGCAAAGCAAAAGAGTAAATCCTATCTGAGAACTAGTTACCTAAATATATTCTGTGGCCTGTGGGCATTCCTAGCAACTGCCATAATCCACAAAATAAATAATTTCACATTTTTAGTGGACTAGTGTTCATTAAGAGATAGCAAATGCCTCTGGAAATGTGACACTGACCCTTCACTTGCCAGGGACTAACGAGGCTGGTTGTTCACAGTACAGCCAGACAGATTTGCAGAAACCATATCTTTTCCTGCAGTAATACAGACGTGAATCTAAAACACAGTCAGAGCTTCACTCCACGTTTCACTTACATACCTCCATTTTTAGGCAGATGATACAAAATTACTCATAGGAGAACACATTTCTATAAATAATCTACTCTATGTGAGCAATTTTAACTCCTGCTGCAAATCTCAGTAGAAAAAAAATCCCCTCTCTGGGCAGAAGTTATTTCCAAAATTTCATATCCTTTTTGGATTCCCTATGCTGGTTGACAAAGAACCTAAATATCTTAAATGTAATGTCCATTAATTTCCAGTCCAATTCAATGTAAACTGTCATCCTCCTCATTTCACTTCTCATTTTATTCTGTTGCAGACATGGAAATGGGTTGTAGGTCCTATGTTTTTATACCTGTGTGAGAGGCTGGTGCGCTTCTGGAGATCACAGCAGAAGGTTGTTATCACAAAGGTATGTGTTGATGCTATGCTTAACAGTGGCCAAAATATTACTGATTTTTCCACATAGAATGTGGTGCTGCAAAGCCACAGTGACTCTGACAAACTGTGAAAAGTTATCAGGGAAGAACCTCAAGAAGTGTGCTGCTACCATGCGAAAAAAGAACAAAAAACCCACTGCTTCCTAAAATATAGATATAGTTGTCTCTAAACCCCAAATTAAATGCTATGTGGTTCCCAAATTAAAACAGTACCAGAGGACAAAGTTAGCTACGACACAGGACTGAGTCTCAGGAGTGAGAGAGGGATTTTATTGGTGACCTAGGGAAACAATACACAAAGTAGAAATTCCATGGCCTTAAAGAAATGCCATGTGCTTAAAAGCAACTTAAGAAGCAATTTTTTTTTTTTCAAAAGCTGCCTGGACTTTCAGGAATCTTGAATTTTCAGCAGAACAAATGACTTCGGAACAGGAGACTTAGACAAGTGCCTATTTTGCGTAGCCAAAACCAATCTCAAGCTTAGACAGTATGTTCCCATAGTATTTTACAGAGATATTCAAGGTGGTTCTGAATGTATACCCAAATTAGCAATTGCTGAATGCTGAAATGCATAAAACCTATCCTGGCCTTTCCTATTCAATTTCCTCACGTGGCACTATGCTTCCTCTCATGGGCATACCCTGTCAAAGCTGGTTTGGGGCATGACAGCAGGTATCTCTGCTGTTCCCTGGCATGGTGCTGACATATTGGAAGGCTCCTATATATTAGCATGAGCAATCGCACCAAAATATCTCTGTGTGATTTCTATGCCATTTGTCTGCCATGTCTTCTTAGTTTCCTTTTGGCAGGAAACTTCTTTCACAATGCTAAGCATTCATACTCATATCTAAATAAGATAGGCAGACTCAATCCTCCCTCTTCCGAAAACTGAAAATAATCTTGCCAGACAACTAGAACTAAAATATTGTAGTGATAGAAATACTATCCCTGCTTCTAGAATATTGCTTCTATTTATTCTTAACTAAATTAGGCACAACGCAAACACCTACAATACACTGCTCAGAACAATACAGTGAGAAAACTTCAGTTTCTAGTGGTACTATACATCCAATTCCCTATCTGTATGCTAGCCTTATACTTCTGCCACCATATACACATCCACTGCATTAGCAGTGTGTACTGTGCCACTGTGTCGGGTGCATCTGGAATTAATCATGTGCACAGACAGACCTGAGGATGTGTTAGATGTGTTAGACCTGCCCCTTTGGGGAAACTGCAAGTACAGTGTGAAAAAACGTTCACCAAAAACTCCGCATCTCCTGCAGACTCTTATCTGGCGCTCAGATACTATTTCTCACTCTGTATCAGCTCTGCCGGAAGTGAAGTTTCACCTGCTTTTCTTGCTCCTATAGGAGAGGATGATAATGTTATGAAGGATGTAAATATATTTAAAACAGTCGTGAAACCAGCCGTTCTCTTTTTTTCCCCTCATTCTTCTCATTGCAGGTGGTCATTCATCCCTTCAAGACAATCGAGCTCCAGATGATGAAGAAGGGCTTCAAGATGGAGGTCGGGCAATACATTTTTGTCAAATGTCCTGCCGTGTCTAGACTGGAATGGCATCCGTTCACGCTGACCTCTGCTCCAGAGGAGGATTACTTCAGCATCCACGTCCGCATCGTAGGGGACTGGACAGAGGCCCTGTTTAACGCCTGCGGATGCGATAAGCAAGAATTCCAGGAAGCATGGAAGTTGCCCAAGTAGGTACAAAGAACCTCCATGGTAAAACCCACCCAGCATCTATGACACTAAAAATTTTGCTCAACCAAACAGGTCAAACCTGTGACACAGTCCTTAACTCCTTCCATTGAGAAAGCTGGTGACCATCTATTTCTTCAAGTCACTTGAGTGATTTTTTTTTCTGGATTTTTTCAGTGAGTTTATGTAAAGAAAATTGGGGAATTTTCTGTTCAATTCCAGATCTACACTTCATTGTTATCTCCACATCTGACCTTTTATCTAAATCAAAAGAGATTTAATCTCTTGTATCTCCCACTGTTTGAGAAGAACTCAGTGCTGCACAAAGCCAGAGAAGCAAAGACTTGATCATATGGGGTTGTGGAGGGAGAAAAGTTCCTCTATGACCAGCTTGCAAAAGTCTGAGCGGGTCCTAGACTGCTTCTCTTATCAACATCACCATCTTCTTTTCCCAACCATTACTTAGCTCAAACGTGCATTGTAATGGACAAATAACTCACGATTTTGTTGCTATTTAAAACAGCACCAATAAATATTCACTATTGATCTATTACTTCTGCTTTCAATTTCAGGATAGCTGTGGACGGCCCCTTTGGAACAGCTAGTGAGGATGTATTCAGCTATGAAACCGTTATGCTTGTTGGAGCTGGAATAGGGGTCACCCCATTTGCATCTGTCCTCAAGTCTGTCTGGTACAAGTACTGCCACGATGCAACCAACCTGAAACTCAAAAAGGTACCCGTGCCCTGTGACACAGGCCTTTCCGGGCACCCAAGCAGTATTTAGGGGACTCTAGCCCAGATCAAAACAGGCCAGCAAAGGCAATCTGGCTCCACAAGTGTGTGAGGCCTGAGGAAAAAAAAAAAGAAAAAAAAAAAAAAGTCCAGTTATCTCAAAGACTGGTAAGCAAAAAAGCAGAAGGGTCAAAAGGGGGGGAGAAAAAGAGAAAAAGAAAGAAAAAATAAATAGCCCGGGGGCCAAATACTGGCTGTGCCTCTGGGGATTTCCACGGGCAGTGGAGACACAGTTCAAGCTCTGGAGGAAGCACAAAGTCCTATTGTACTTTCCAGAGATTAACTGCATCCAGACAAATACTACATTCCTTCCCTATACACATACAGAGCAATTTTGAGCCAATATAACCCCAAAATGGGAGCCACTGCTGCCATGCTCCTCTCGCCTCCTGCTCCTGGAAGCTCCCTATGCACAAGTTAGTCTCTTCAGTTACAGTCATACTCACATTGCTGTTACAAGAAGAGAACTGGTTTTGTCACCTCTTTTGATTTAACATTCCTGCCAGCAGACAGGGAGGTAGAATCTACCCGTAAGTCATTATTTTATGTCCTAGCAAACTGTTTTACAAGGATATAAATGCACAAACATTGCAAACTGCTAAACTCACTGATCGAAGAGGAATAGAAAGTTGTTTCCCTGTTTTTTTGCAGCCATATATTTTGCTTCACAACTTTCCAAGCACCTGAACTTTTGAATAGCTTCAGTGCGAGCTTGTCTCCCTGACAGCTGAAGTTGTTGGTGCATTTTTTTTCTACGGAAACTCTACAATCCTCACTTTGTTAGCAAACACAAAAACAGAACCTGTAAGCACCAGTGTACCCTAAGCCTCTCTCTCTTGTCTCCTCCAGATCTACTTTTACTGGCTTTGCAGGGACACTCATGCCTTTGAATGGTTTGCTGACCTCTTGCAATCTCTGGAGACTCAAATGCAGGAGAGAAATAATGCAGAATTTCTCAGCTACAACATCTACTTGACAGGCTGGGATGAAACTCAGGTAACAACACTGTGGAAAATGGCACAGTGTTCATGTCAGCAAGCTTGCTGTGTTTTGATATTTGGATGGTCATTTTCCTGGGATTCACCTTGCTCGCTCTGAGGTTTTAAATGTAGGTTGGCTTTGGCAGACAAAAAGTCTTCTGCAAACGTTGGTAATTTCCACGCTGTTACAGTTGTGCTGGTTGCTAAAAGAAGGCAGTCAAAACAACAGTCCCGTGAATGGGGTGGCAATGCAGACATTTTTTTTTTACTCTCTGCACTGTGCTCTGCCCCTCACATCGCAGAGTACCTCCTTTAGAAGATGTAGCTCATGTTGCCATGCAAAGCTTTGGGTTTGCCAACAAAGCTCAGCCTAAATTACTGTGGAAATGCTCCAGTCACTAGAAGCAGTGAAACTCTAGGAGTGCTCTGTAGTCTCCCTCTTATTCATATGGATCAGTCCTTCTACAAATAAAACTGGCAGGAGGTCAAGGGTTGTATTATTGTAACTGACAGGGGAGTATTGTGCTAGTCTACAGCTTTATTTTACACCTCTTGAACTAAAACAATTTGTGTGTAAAATAAATGTAATTGCTGTGTTTATTACTTCATAGCTTTAATTTTTGAGATAGGCCAATTTGCGAGAATGAGGAAGACGGAGATTCCTTGTCAAGTTACCTATGTTAGTTTTCCTTTCTATCCATAATAAATTCCTCAGGAACATTTTTAGTTTGCTGACAATGCAATGCATATTGACATATATATATTTTTCTAACCAGAGATAGTTTGTCATATCTAAACCTGTCTTTACAAGACCCTTTTGGTTTCCCTTCCCACAGGCCACTCATTTTGCAGTGCATCATGAAGAAGAGAAAGATGTGATTACAGGCCTTAAACAGAAAACACTGTATGGAAGACCTAATTGGGAAAATGAGTTCAAAACCATTGCAGGGAAACATCCAGGGTAAACCTATACCTCTTGATAGTGCCTATGGCCTTCGTGTGCCTAAAAGCTATAATAGCACCAACTTGTTCCTTAGACTCGTAACATTTGGGAAGCACCTTTTTTTTTTTAACAATCTGACAATTTCTAGTTATTTTCTACATCATTTCAGCCATGGACATGAACTGTAGTCTTGAAAAAGTTGTTTTAATTTGCTAGTAGTGTTTGATCTCTAGAAGTATTTTAGAGAAAAAAAAAAAGTATTTCCTGCTCAAGTAGATAGGAATGTCAGTGACCTCTAAAAATAATATCTGCTACATCTAAAGACAAAATATGAACATGGATGACCTTTGGCTGTGCATCCAAAATTAGCAGGAAGAAAATGGAGCTTCCTTTCAAGAATTTGTACCATAAGCTCTATTTCATTGTTTCCATTGAGGTCAGTAAAAATTTCTGATTTCTGCTAAACTGAGACTTAGCCCATCACTTATTTTAAGAGACTTAGCCCATCACTTATTTTAAGAGAAGCAGTAAACATCTTGCAAATTTTGAAAGCTCATAGCTTTCAGAGGGGACATGCAGTTCTACTTCAGTTTCTGTAACTGGGAAGAAAAATTTGAAGACTGATTTACATGAGCAACACTGAGCTGCTCCATGTTTAGTCCTTGACCATATTTTCATTTTCTTAACAGCTCCAGAATAGGCGTTTTCCTCTGTGGACCTGAGGGCCTAGCTGACACACTCAACAAGCAGAGCATCAGCAACTCAGAAGCTGACCCACGAGGAGTACACTTCATTTTTAACAAGGAAAATTTCTAACTCATAAATATATGGGAGTCATCCAACAGTCATTCAAAAATCCAAAGACTATATATATATATTTTCCCATTTGAAGTCTGGGAAAGACAGCCCAACTTCCAATCTCAGCTACACTAATGCAAATCCCTTTCCTTCTTTGGAATTATCTTGGCTCTGCAATGGAGTAACACAGAGTCAAGTTTTGCCTTAGGATTGCTTGCACTGCCTTCCACATACTGGCATTTTAGCAGAAATTTGTTCTTTGTGTGTATGAGGGCATTTCCCCTCAATTAACTGTCTTTATTCTCTTCTCGTAGTGCCTGCAGCGGGGTCTAGGCCAGCATATGCATCTGAGAGTCAGTTCACACTGATAAAGCTTACTGATGTTAAACAATAAAGCATTCTAGCAAAATGCCCCTATTTAAGAGCTAGTTCAACATTGCTATAGGGAGTCATTGGAAAGAGAGGGGGATTTAGACAAGGGTGAATGGGAAAGAGCATTACTTTTGTCAGAAGAGCTATTTTGCAACAGCATTTTTCAAGCTTCTGAACATAAGCCTAAATGTCTTGTGCCAGAGATAGAGGGGACAGCTGAGAAGCAGCTCTAGGGAAGCCCAGAGCTGAAAAGGAACCATCTGGATGCCTGAGCCCCCCAGCTTGGGGCTGGGAGGGTGGGGGACACCACAAGGCTGGTGTCAAACCCAACCTTGCGCTCAGTAAGCGCCAGCGCGCGGCTACTCCCAACGCTCCTCTTCCTCTCTCATGTCTTCACGTTTACAGTGTAGGGATCCAACCAAGAGAAAGAAGAAAGTTGTTTCTAGGACCTCCACTTCAGAGTTTCAAGGCTGAAAAAGCTCGTTGCTAAATAGGTCCCCTCTGAAGGATTCCTAAATCTGGACGGTGGTTTTGGCCCTCTTCAGCTGTTCCTCACTGACAGCCGCGAGACAGGTTTGAGAAAGCAAAGATCGTGTGGGCAGTAACTGGAACAGCTACGAGTAAAGTTGCTGATTTGCACAAGGCACCCATGCACAGCACAGTACTTCTGTACATTACAGGTAGCAGGTTCATAAAAGAAAAAAAAAAAGGAACCAATACCAGCAACAGGGAAAAATAAATCATTAAACCAGCAAAACCAGCAGTAAAGGGAAATAAAAATAGTTGCAAAAGGCCTTGAAAGAGTCACATTTTAATATTCTGAATATTCTGTGAGTTTCCACAGTGCCTTGTTGTCTCCTATTCAGCCTAGCTGCCCCAGTTGCTTGTCTACCACCTTCCAAACTCTGCATACAAACCTGCACACAGCTCCTACACAGCACTAGATCTTGCTGATAGACTCTCCCACAGAAGAAAGCGTTGGCTTATGCAGTTCCAGACACGTTTGTGCAACCACCTGGTTACCAGCATTTTACACCACAGTTCACCGGACAGGACACGTTTTCTGTTTATACCATTTTTAAATAACAACTGCCCTCTGCTTTTGCAGAGAGACTATTTACCATTTTGTATTTATTGCTACCAGTTCCTGTGAACTGTTAGTTATTAGCTTTCAATTGTGTCAGCATCTAATGGGGAGGAAGTCACAGTTGGTAAGTGCTCGTGAAGATCAACATTTGATGGGGAGATTTTGAAATTATTTCCCTCAAAAGAGCCATAGTTTAATCTATACAGTTGTTTGACACATACCTATTAGATCAGAATAGAGCATAGGCAGAACTGAATACACTTCTTTGTCGGAATAAAAATTTTGTTATTGAAACATAATAGGGGTCTGTTCCTGTGCAGAGGGCCTTGATTTTAATGGAAATACGAGCAGACTTTTACACTGTTAGCAAGCAGGCAAAGGGGAAGTGCAAGTGTTTAATGGAGAGAGCATGTTTACCATTCAAAGAATCTTTAATTATTATTATAAACCCACTAATTTTCTAAACATTGTCATGTTTTTCTTAAAAATGCAGGGCTCTTTTCTGTCCGAGTCAGTTTTAATGACATTTCCTGTTGTACCGTACACTTGTGCCACAGGTTATTTGTCACTTTCAACCCAGAGAAAGGCATCCCATGCTGATTACTGAAGCACTCTCTTCTTATAACTTTTAAAAGAATAAATAGATGAAAATTCGCAGTTTCTTGAGTCCTTATCAGTCATGGTCTGAATATGATTTTCTTTTTTAATCCAAGGTATACGAGAGAAATGGATAGCACTGAAACACAAACATAAGAAAAAATAAGAACTAGGTTCCGTCCTCCCTACTTTTAGCAAAGCACGGAGGGCATCAGTGGTACTGCTTTAAGCCAATGCTGCTCTCTCTCAGAACGGTAAAGGAGTAAAGCCCATCTTCTAAAGCCTTGGCACTGAGTGGTTAGACCTTTGATACAGCCTGGGCCCCTGACAGAAAGTAAGTTCCTTCTCCTGCATGTTTGTTTGGTTTGGTTTTGTCATGGGGTTGGGGTGGGCAGTAGCTTTCACAATAAACACAGATTCTTTTGCTTTCAAATTGCTGACTCCAAAATTCTTCTGCAGGGCCCGTCCTGGAAACAGAGCTTCTTCTCGCCTTCACTTGGGAACCTGTGTGTGGTTTTTAGAAGTTAAGGCAAGCTTAGCAATTCAGAAAGCTGTCCAGCACCACAGGCTTGGTGCAGCAGCACTGGTGAGATTTTTGGAAAGGCAGGGATGTGTCAAGGTTGCTCCTGCAGAGGGCTGGGGGAAGCAGAGCAAGGCAGAGGGCCATGGAAGAGCACGGTACAAGGCAGGACTTGAGGCAGCCCCATGTTTCAGTGACCCCGTTGGTAGGATTGATGCTGCCCCGCACTTGTTCTGTCACAAACCTCTGATACTGCACACATGTGCTGCAGCCTTTGCGAGCTCCCCACGGTCATGCCCACTTCCAGAGGGGCCTGAAGACTGCAAGTGGTTCTCCCATTAAGGCAATCCTTCTACCATAGCTTTCTGTCCTAGTTCTGCTTCAGCAATATAGAGATGACTCTAAAGGATGCGGGAGCCTCTTGGTAGTGCTGACAACACCAGTACAATTATGGGGTCAGTCTGTGTGTGACCGGTGCTGCAGAACTCCCCGAGTAGAGCAAGTCTTGAAGTCTTCAGGTCCATCCTTCCACCAGTTCTACAAATTTGCTAATTACATGGGAATGCTCTGCTGGCTGTAAGAAAAGCCATTTGGTCCTGGTTTAGTAAAATAAATATTTCCGCAAATGGATGCAACCGGGATCTCAATGCAAAGTGAAAAAAAGGAAACTGGCCTTACTATTGGCTTAAGCTCAGCTTGTTTTTCCCTTCCCTTCTTATGTAATATTCTGTCTTCCCATATCTTGCCATCTGAATCAGGAAGTTCTTATTCATGAATTCCAGGCCACCATAGTTACTCTTACAGTTAAAGACTTCAATGCTGCGCGGTGCTGGGCAACTCCAGCTCCCATTGATCCTGCTTGGATCTTGGAGACTGTGAGAGTTCTTCACTCTATATGATCAAATAGAGATCATACAATTGAGAGAGCCCCGAATATTCACTGGGGCTCATCTAGTCCTCCACTCCTTCCCTGCTCTACCCTTCTCTGTGCAAAGAAAACTCAAGTTTTCATATTTGACTCAATAGCTAGAAAAGTGTGTGCCCACAGTAAAACTGCTACACTGCCTGATCACGATCACACATGTAAGAGGGGAAACCACCCTGTTGCAAAACAGATCTTCCTCTTTTCAGCCTTGTAAGACTTTCTCTGCTGGGTGGGGACTTTCTGCATTTCAATCTTCAAGCAGTGGGTTAAACAAAATTAGAAGAACAACCCAAAAGCTGCCTGTGAAACACAAAGTATTTTTGAACAAACAAGAAATAGTGTTGTGGTCTCACAATGGCACTTCATAGGAGGATCATTCTCTACTCTGGGATATTCTTAGCAAGTTAGTTGAGATGGTTTTTTTTTTCTTCTTTTTTCGCCTTTCAGTGAAAGGTGAAAATTGTGCAGAAATGCGGGGGATGGCCAGAAAACCCATTCCCTCCCCAAACACATGGGCAGAAACAGCCACCCGCCCTGCTGAGCTTGGCAGTAGAGAAGGAGGCAAAGGCTGGGCGAGGCAGAGTGAGCCCAGTCTTCTCCCTGCCAACAGATGCTTTGTAACTCCAGGAACAACTTACAGAGCAAACTGCCCTGAAAATAGCATTTTTTTCCGTCTTAAAAACAAAACAAACAAAAATATAAGTGTAGACTATTGGTGTTAAGACAAGGAACTACGAAAACACCATTGGCCATGAGTTTTAATAGCTTCAGGGCAACTGGAAATTTGCAGAGACATCTTCAGTCAAGTAATCTTTAAAGTAAAGCATAGATGTTTCTTATGCTGATTTTCTCTTTCTATACCCATGTGAGTTATACTTAACATTAAAAAAGTCCACACTACACTCTGGCAGTTTAGGTTTTCTCTTAGAATGCCAGAAATCACCGAGAAAATTCAGGTTGAATTTTCCTCAACTTTAGTTGGTGCAGAAATGGGACAGGGAAGAACTATGACAAGGCAACTGCCATAATTTCCTTGCAGCTAACAGGTCAAAACGTGGTGTTATACCAGGGTGCGCGGACAAAGCAAGAGCCTAGTTTCATGCTACAGGATTGCCCACCCTCTCAGCTGCCTTCAGAGACTTCCTCCCCACATGCTCAATACCCAGGAGCCACAGCAAACATCCTGAAGGATGGGGCACAGCTGGCCAGGTCCCCATGAACATGAGGAGAGCTGCTGATGTAGCATCCCTTTCCCTCTCTCTCCTATTTCCTTGCCATTTGTGATCAGCAATGCTAGGTACCAAGCCAGGTTTCAGGTGGTAAATTCACACAAGCCCTCTGAGACTTGTCACCTACTCAGACAGCAGCAATGACTGTCACACCAGTTGTGAGAAATACTTTCTAGAACCAGCTCCCTTGAGGATACAAAGCCCTGGAGCCCATCAGCAATGATCTTCTGCTCTAGCATTACGGATGGTGCTGTTGTCCATCAGTAATTCATAAAATACCTTCTTGCACTAGGACTGCAAATGGTTAA